AATGCACGAAGGATGCTGCAGTGACCATAGTAAGTCAGGGGCCTGGTTGCAAAAATTTTGAGGGCAGGATATTTCTGGCCGACGACGAGGGAGGATGCGAAGGCGATGGTGAAGAAATGCTTACAATGCCAAAAGCATGGCCCTCTTATCCATCAACCGGCAGAGACGATGACGACGATGAGTGCCCTATACCATTCGCCCAGTGGGGTATCAACCTGGTGGGGCCGATGCCGCAGGGAACTGGACAGAGGAAGTTCTTGATAGTGGCAGTGGATTATTTCACAAAGTGGGTGGAGGCCGAACCTTTGGCGAAGATCACGGAGGAGAAAGTAATCAAATTTTTATACAACAACATTTGCTACAGGTTTGGCGTGCCCAATGTGTTGATTTTCGACAATGGCACTCAGTTCAATGGCAAGCAGATTCGAGCATAGTATGAAGACATGAAAATCGAGCAACACTTTGCCTCCGTTTCTCATCCGCAAGCTAATGGCCAGGTCGAAGTAACCAACTGAATTATATTGAATGGGCTGAAAACAAAGTTGGAAAAGGCCTCGGAGGCGTGGGTCGATGAGTTAAGCTCGATACTTTGGGTGTATCGCACAACCCCGAGGTCGACAACAGGAGAAACTCCCTTCAGTTTAGCCTATGGGATAGAGGCGTTGCTGCCGGTCAAAGTCGAGTTATCATCCCAGAGGTCGAGACCACATATGATACTGAGCAAAATGAGGATTTAATGATGGCGGCCCTGGATACTATCGAGGAGCTGCGTGGAAGAGCAGCAATCAGGGTGGAAGCATACAAGCAAAGGATGCGAGCCGCTCATGACAAAAAGGTGAAAGTTCGCATACTCCAAGTAGGCGACCTGGTTTGGAAACGTGTCGATGTGCTCAAGCATGTGGAAAAGCTAGAGCCAAACTGGGAGGGACCATACCTGGTCGAGCGAGTGCACGCAGGAGGAGCGTACTCGCTAAAAGATGCAGAAGGCCGATCGCTTGCCAGGTCATGGAACATAGCTAATTTGAAAAATATTATGTGTAGAATTTTTTACTTTTTGCAAAGAAATCTTGGAAGTCCAAACAAAGTTGTAACTTGCAAAGTTTGCTCAAAAAAGTTAATGAAATTCAGTTATTCTTTCGTATTACTTGTTGCATTGCACATTTTCTTATGCTTGGATTATTGGTATGGTTGGATGACAGGAGGAATATGGTGTGGTCTAACTTGGACGTTGCTTGTTTAAAACATCCTTTGGGGTGGGCAGGTTGGTCGATTACTCACGCCCTCGGGCTGGGTGGCCTCCTGTTTGGAACATTCCTCGCGGGTGGGCAAGTGTGAAGACCAAAACCCACCATGGACCTCGGGCTGGGTGGTCGCTTGTTTAGAACATCCCTTGGGGTGGGCAGGTTGGTCGATTACTCACGCCCTCGGGCTGGGCAGCCTCTTGTTTGGAACATTCCTCGCGGGTGGGTAAGTGTGAAGACCAAAACCCACCATGACTAAGGCCCTCGGGCTGGGTGGTCGCTTGTTTAGAACATCCCTTGGGGTGGGCAGGTTGGTCGATTACTCACGCCCTCGGGCTGGGTGGCCACCTTTTTAGAACATTCCTCGCCGGTGGGCAAGGGTGAAGACCAAAACCCACCATGACTAAGGACCTCGGGCTGGGTGGTCGCTTTTTTAGAACATCCCTTGGCGTGGGCAGGTTGGTCGATTACTCACACCCTCGGGCTGGGCGGCCTCCTGTTTGGAACATTCCTCGCGGATGGGCGAGTGTGAAGACCAAAACCCACCGTGCCTAAGGCCCTCGGGCTGGGTGGTCGCTTGTTTAGAACATTCCTTGGGGTGGGCAAGTGTGAAGAACAAAACCCACCATGACCAAGGCCCTCGGGCTGGGTGGTCGCTTGTTTAGAACATCCCTTGGGGTGTGCAGGTTGGTCGATTACTCACGCCCTCGGGCTGGGTGGCCTCCTGTTTGGAACATTCCTCGCGGGTGGGCAAGTGTGAAGACGAAAACCCACCATGACTAAGGCTCTCGGGCTGGGTGGTTGCTTGTTTATAACATCCCTTGGGGTGGGTAGGTTGGTCGATTACTAATGCCCTCGGGCTGGGTGGCCTCCTGTTTAGAACGTTCCTCGTGGGTGGGCAAGTGTGAAGACCAAAACCCACCATGACTAAGGCCCTCGGGCTGGGTGGTCGCTTGTTTAGAACATCCCTTAGGGTGGGCAGGTGGGTCGATTACTCACGCCCTCGAGCTGTGTGGCCTCCTGTTTGGAACATTCCTCACGGATGGGCAAGCGTGAAGACAAATCTTTCACAACCTAGACACGGGAGTCGGGAAAAGCCCATGAAAGTGAGGATACCGAAAAGGCCCATCGAGGACGACAAGAACATCGAAACAAGCGGGGTGTCAAGCCGAGAAGGCAAGTGCAAGGCCAGGGGGCAAGAAGAAACTACATGGAGCAGAAAACCCATCACGTTTAAGGCCGTGAGACTGGATGGTCGCATGCTTCGACCACCTCTGAAGGTTGGGCATGTGTTAAAAAATTTCAAAACCCATCACGTTTAAGGCCGTGAGGCTGGATGGTCGCATGTTTCGACACCTCTGAAGGTGGGGCATGTGTTAAAGATTTTCGAAACCCATCATGTTTAAGGCCGTGAGGCTGGATGGTCGCATGAATCGACCACCTCTGAGGGTGGGGCATGTGTTAAAGATATGTGTTAAAAATTTTCGAAACCCATCACATTTAAGGCCTTGAGGCTGGATGATCGCATGTTTCAACCACCTCTAAAGGTGGGGCATGTGTTAAAGATTTTTGAAACCCATCACGTTTAATACCGTGAGGCTGGATGGTCGCATGCATCAACCGCCTCTGAGGGTGGGGCATGTGTTAAAGATTTGTGTTAAAAATTTTCGAAACCCATCACGTTTAAGGCTGTGAGGCTGGATGGTCGCATGTTTCGACCACCTCTGAAGGTGGGGCATGTGTTAAGGATTTTCGAAACCCATCACGTTTAAGGCTGTGAGGCTGGATGGTCGCATGCATCGACCACCTCTGA